TGCCACAAAGTGTGCCAATTTTGAAAATCATTCCACAACTACCATGATCGAATCCTTTTTGTGATGCATTCGTGGCAAGCCTAATCCAAAGTCAAGGCCAACATCTTTCGATGGATCATAAGGAATTGGCAATGGAGTATAATGTGATGCACTAGAATCTAATTTGAAAGAATTATTTATTTATTTTTTAATAAATAATAATCAAAGCTATCTAATATCATCTATCAATTATAAAAAATATAATATATTCTATAATTCAAAATATCAATATACACATATGTATCTATTCTAAAAAGTCATATACAATTCTTAGGGTCTATAAAATCCACATATATATCATATCCTGAGTACAAAAGAATAAATAAAATAAAAATAGAATATGAGTAATCTAGGTCAATCTCACACTCTTGATCCTCTAACTTGACCTAAAATTATTTAACCATATATAATGAGCTAAAAAATCCAGCATGTTACCAAAACCTAAAACTGAATTTAAAGCATAATAAAGGAGAAATATATATGTAAACAATCAAATCATAGTAGTAACATTCATATATAATAGTAGTAGAATATATAAATAATAAAATACTATAGTATGGAAGATAATAAAGTAATAAACCAATATGAGTACTGTCAAATTTATAATGTAATCTTTGTATCGGTAAAACTAATCAGTACAAAAATAATATAAAGCATTAAATCAAAATATCATAATGACTACTGAAATCAAATCAATATAGTAAAATCATATATGAATATACACATATTATCCAAGTATTTTAAATAATGTGCTCATAATATCACATGCTTAGTATCAACATAGCGAATCAATTACATCGAATAGCATCAAAATCTATCATGGTGTTTTTTAGTATTATACCAGAATCAGTAAACTATTGGTTTAGTAAACAAAGTTGTCACTATTTTTTCCATCCATATAGTAATCATCTCCTCATAACTCCCAATTAGTATCAAATGAATCAATAAAAGATAACACCAAACCATAGTATTTAAAAAAAAAACCGTCAGCCCACCATCCTATACAGATCAATCAGTCTCCAACCAACAAGTCAACCAATCTTTACTGATATTTTACACAGACATTATCATCACAACACTATAAGAGTAATCTCAATCATATATCCACATTCATTCCTAATATATTGCAGTAAATAATGCATAATTGAGCATAATTAAAAATAAAATAAAATAACCTAATGATCAATAACAAAAATCATACTGAGCAAAAATTTTCATTTCCAAAATTTAACTAAATTATAAGATATTATATAAAATAATATTCAAAGCTTTAGTTAACTAAATCACTATTTTTAGAGCCAAAATAAATTTTGAGTAGGCAAAAATTGCGGTATTTTCAAAATCACCAGTGAAAAATCTCAAATAAATACTTAAATATTCATAATTTTAATCTTTATCACATATAAAAAGTTACACTGTGAAAGTTTTACCAATACAAATTTATTATTATTTTTTTTATAACAAAAATACAAATTTGAAAAAAAATAACAAAAATATAAAATATTTGAAATAAAAAATAGGGCAAAAGTTCCTTACAGCAAGACGAGTAAATTTCCTTACTACATTTATAGACCAAAAAATGCTTCACGACCTCCAAATCCAAGATTTTCTTCTCTCCTCACATTTCTTCCATCTTTCCCCAAAAATATCTTTGATGCCAAAGATGAAATGGGAAACGGAATGTTAAATAATGAATTAAGATATTTTTAATATGATATATTGTTGGATTGGCAACTATGACTATTTATTCTAATGCTCATGTGGATGGTGATAGGCCTCTAATTAATGTTCCTATTTTTATTGTTGATAAGAAAAATTTATTAGCCCAATTAGCTTCCAAAGATGATGTGGGGGTTCAAGGGGATTGGTTAATTGATTATGGATCAAAGAGGCATGGTGAATGGTTAGATGACGATTATGGGGAGGAAATTATTGAGAAAGAATTTGAGTCTCAGGATAACTTTGATTTGAGTATTCTTCAAATTATTGATGTTGGTTTTTTTAAAAACAGTCGTAAGCATAGACAATGCAAATCCAAAAAGAAATTTTTTATTTTTTTTTGGATTTGTCCTTCGTTTGCTTTGTGACCCGGGCAATGATGTGGCCACTTTTTGCTCATCACCTGGTCGATTGCGGCTTGTTGGAAACCTTCGTATGTACTTCTTTTTTTCTCTGATTGGTGGCCTTTTTGGGTCATGAGATTTGATTTGTCCATTTCATAAGTGTGGATTATTATTTGAGTCCTCCTATGGATGGACCTTGCCTAGCTACTAGGTGGTTGCAGAAAGCGTCTTTGCCAATGACTGAGCCCGACTGGCTTTTGCCTTCATTATTGATTCATGTATCTCTTTGCTTTAGCTGTGTAATTTTGACTTTGTCCTTTGCAGGACTTGTTTGTATCCTTTCTTTTATGAATGAATTTTTTTTTCCTTAAAAAAAAAAACATGGCCCATTGAAAGAACACACCTGAAGCCCTTCTTGATAATGAAGTGTCCTATCATTTTATTTACCTAGCCTCTAAAACCAAAACAAACGAAGAAAACTTCTCTAATGTAAAAAAAATAAATAAATAAAAAATAAATAAAAAAAATAAAAAGAAAGAAAGAAACAAAAACATGCAAAATTACTAAAGGCGATACGCAACTATTATTTAGTAGCCCTAAACTTAGCTATATTTATTCATTTTATGAATACCACTTACTAAGCCTTGTTATATAATTTTATTTATTTTATTCAAATGTAATTTTTCATATGGCACAAAACATTAGCTCAAATCAATAAATTAGGGGTGTCAAAATCGGTTTGCTGATTGGGTTCAGTTTGAACCCGACATTGACCCGCTACTATTTGATATGACTCGAACTCGACCCGTTTTTACATAAAGGTTAGAAATTTCAACCTGAAACCAACTTGTCAGGTTTCCGAATTGTCCTGACCCGACACGAAATCTCGTGCAACATGCAACATTTTGGCCGAAGAAGCGCCCGAATGGGAGAAAATGGTCAGCTTCGCAATGAACGAACTCCCTACCATCATCATCGCTTCTGATCCAACAAAAGAATAGCAAGGGTGAGATGTCCTGACTTTTGACCCAACAGGAAGGAACTTCATCGAAGGAGAACGCAGAACCCGAGCGAGTGTGTTGAAGCAGTGGAAGCGGGAGAAGAGGAAAGCAAACCCGACGCACAAGTGCAGGCAAACTGGAGGAGGCGCGACACTGGAGCGGGCCTGTGGAAGCAGCGAAAGCGAGATTATGTGTGCCTAGGCTGGGGAATCGAGTCAGGCCTATGTCAACTTCGAGTTAGTAGATTGATTCATATCCTACTCGATTTTTCAAATGGGTCGAAATTTAGAACCAAACCTGGCCCGCTTGCCAAACGGGTTAACTAATCCGAAATTTTCAGGCCGTGTTCATACCGAATTTTCGGGTCATGTCAAATATTGGCACCCCTACAATAAATAGTCAGAGAATGGGTCTAAGAGTAGAAACATCTTTTGACATTTTTGTTAAAATAACTTTCTAATATAAAAATTAAAAAACAGCATTAAGAAGTAGTAAGAAAACCATTTGAAACAAAATGTTAATCTTTTTTTTTTTTTTTTACTGTTCACTTTAGCTTTTATATATAAGTTTCATGACATTTATAGTTTCATGACATTTTCCTATATATTAATTGATGTCTTCACTGCTTTCATTTTTTCCTCACTTGTAACCAAGAAGCATTTCATTTACTTCATTTAGTTGTTTTTGTGATATAAAGCTATAGCAAAATTTTTATGCTTTACTTGTTTTTAAAAATCCAAGCAGAAACACTAAACCATGAATTATACATTAGTAAAATAATTTTCTATTTACTTTAAATAATGGTTAGATGACTACAAAAATTTCATTAAACACTTTCTAAAACTTACAAAGTAATTTCGAATTATGCATCATTTAAAAATGATTAATTCACGGCATTCTGCTCTTGATATTGATCTTGTTGCCAATCATTAGGATCATCATATTTCCTTTATGTTCTCCTTTGATTTCTTTAATTCATCCCAAATATCTTCTTTCACGGACAACAAAAAGATAATTGGGATTATTCTTTTCATGAGCCTTATTAAATGCCCCATTCATTTTAAAGTTTGGACTAATTTTTTACTGTTTCTTAAGATAATTTTTAATAAAAAAATTATTCTTTAATTAAAAAACTACTTTGAAAAATAGTAAAAAAACTATACCAAATGAAGTAAAAAATCAGTCTCATTTAAGCATGACAGAAAAATTGTGTCAAAATTTAGCTCAACAATTAAAAAATATAGTATTACAAGAATAAAAAGAAGAAGAATGAAAGAACTTTTTTTTTATTTAGGCCAATTATGTCAGACTCACACACACATCATATACACAAGACTACTCAAGATCTCTTAGGCTTCGTTGGGACGACTTTTTTGTTGCTTTTTAAAACAGAGTTGTACAAATTTTTTAATTTTTGTACTAAAACTCCGTTTTCAGAAGCAATAAAAAAACCATCCCAAACGAAGCCTTAGGCTCTGTTTGGGACAACTTTCTTACTATTTTTTAAAACAACTTTTTAATACAAAAATTAAAAATTTTAACTTTTAGAAGCAGCAAGAAAGCCGTCTCAAATAAAGCCTTAATTGATAACCTAAGCTCCCAACCAACAGACCAAAAGATGAGGTGTAAAAAATTTTAAAGATGAATTGAGTACAGTACAATAGCAACATGCGCACAATTATATATATATCTGTGTAAATGGTGTGAGTTGTTAATGATAGTTGATTTAGGGAATTCACTTCACTAGCAACCTAAGGATAGTGTTTTTCCTCGTCTAACTCAAAATAAATA